CAATCCTTGTTTGTGCAGTTTAGGTAGACCGTAGAGTCGTGGTATGTGTGTACCAACTGGTCTTATTCTTTCAAAAGTGCTGGAGCTTATTATCCCGTTCTGTTTCAGTTTTCTAACGGTTTTAGACAATCCTTTCTCGATAGCGGCCGTTCTGTCTTTTTCTCCGTCATTTTTAGTAAATTTAGTTGTGTCTTGTAACAACAGTTCCATTTTGTTCACATAATCGGTCCGGTCAAGAATGACAATCCCTGAGCCTTTATCTTGCCTCAGAAGAATAATGTCTTTGTTTCTCTGAAGTTTGATCAAGCTTTCAAGATGCTCCTTAGACAGCAGTCTTCTACGCTCAGTCGGATGAGTTAGGTATTGATAACTTGTGGTGACCAGCTGTTTTCAACTTTTCTAGATTGGTATCTGATGCGGGCAATAGATCTGAAAGTTGACTGTGAAGATTTTCAAATTGTAGCTCTAAATCCAATTGTTTAATGTTTCGATTGGGAATTTCAATGGCTCCCTTATCCAAACGTAAAGAATAAAGGCTATTCACATACCGTTCTGGATCTCTAGGAAATTGTCCGTCCCGGATTTTAGTGGTGGCCAGCCGGCAAAATTTTGGAGAAAACAAAAACCCGTGGTGTTTGTAGCTCTTGATTGTGTCTTTGTATGTGTGGTTGTAGAATTATTTATCTTCTTGTACCATACATCAAATTAATGTTTTTTGAGGTTAGGTATACTTAAATCTCATTTTCAGTATCTTGGTGAAAATGGGCTTCTGTAGAACATGATTTATAGCGTGAGAACAAAACAAACTGTTTGGCAACCACGTGAATTTTCCGTTATAATACATCCCTCCCCCCGTTTTGTTCAGTTATTCTACCAGATTTTTGAGCGAACGTCAGAAAGGAAGTAATCAACAGTACACAGTTTTTAAGCTCTCTGTCCTCTTTCCTTTATTACAGAACGCAATGGGCGAAAAGGAATCAAATGAAAATCAGGACACCTCAAACCAGATGATACAACCAGAAAAAGCCTACACCGGTCGAGTAAGCCCACAAAAATGTTCCGTCGTAATCTGATTTGATCTGGGACTGAGATACTGCCCTGTTATTCTGTATTCGCTTGTATTGTATTGTGATAACTTCTGCAGGCATGAAGCCTACATTTCAGTTAAAAGTACACAGTTTGGGGTAAGGGGGAAAATATATATATATAAAAAACAATTACAATGGAAAAGAAACGGAAATTAAATCCGAAAACTGTTAACAAAGTCTGTGAAAACCTGCTCTTTGTTAACAAGAATACGTGCTAATGAGGGTGCTGTGGAGTTACGATAAATGTTTATTCGAGAGGGAACACAACGATATTGTGATCTTGTAGAAGGGTGGGAACGACAGGAAGTTAAATCTGCATGTAATGGATGTGTGGAGTCCATGAGAATCTTATGTGCAAACTTTTCACATGCATTCAAGTGACGTTTGCATAGGTTAGTTACCAACTCCTTTAGCGGGATTGAAGAGACATGAATAATAATGGTTATTCCACGTCGAGGCAAATTAAAATCCTTCTTTAGGAGGTTGGGAAAAATAACTGGTGAACAGTAGAGTAAAACGGGGAAGACACACTGGTATACAAATTTAGAAATGATTGGTTGTTGGATACGAAACTGACGAAGCTTGCGGATATGAAAAGAAAGTCGTCGGAGCTTACTGACGATGTGTTGAATGTGAGAGGTCCAGAGAAGATTAGAATCAATAGAAACTCCCAGGTATTTGATACAATTTACTCGGGATACTGGTTCGGAGCCAATGGATACTTTGGTTTTCATTAACGTTTGAGTTCAAACTTTTTGCCAAATAAATCACGGCAGCGATCAGTGAAGTTCGCTTCATTTTATCTTGCTGTACGATGATGATGACAATAATCTTTCTACGAAAGAAAAAGGGCCAGCGTTTGCCCTGGCCAAAGCAGATGAATTGTTTTAAAGAATTCACAACGGGAACGTTAGGCTAGCTGAAGCCTGACCCGCACGGCAGTGAGGCAGTGTGTGAAAACCGTAATCTATAGAGGGCCGGTGTCCAGTTCATCGGGTCATACGCTCTTCGGATAGGGTCAGACGTTCAAGTTGCCCATTACACCTCGATACCTAATCGAGGTGTGGGTGTTTCGTACGCCTCTTAGTTTCTTCAGGATTAAGTTTTTAGCCGACTGCCTTAGGTGAACTGCCAGTGGTCCACCGACCTGGTTATAGTCCCAAATATTGGCTTTTCGTCCTCTGAGTTTGAGGGGAAAGCACCTCCGCCACGGGAAGGCAGTGAGTAGAACTTCCTCAACAGAGGCTATTTGAGGCGCTTGGTCATAAAGGAGTATTTTGCGAGGTGCAAGAGAGCCGCTACTTGGGACACGCATTTCAGACCATACTGATGTAAACAGTTGGAAACTAGTTAGGTATGTAAGATCACTGGAAATCAACTAACTGACAGTTTTTCAATCATACCTATCTGTCTCAAGTTGGATTTTCTGAACATCTTTCAGTGAGCATGTTGATAGTGCGTGATATAATAAAAGGAACATGTTCTTGGCACTGTTAAATGAAATGCGGTTTACTATAGGGTTCAGTTTTACTTTCATGAATAAAGTATTTTTTCCTCTTACTCCGTATATGGTATTTCCTTTCGTTTAACATTTGTCGATGTTTGAACCGCCCTGACTTGTGAATCCTCGCCGACTGTCATTGGCTTTTGCACAAAAGAAAATGTCATGACATAGCTTAATTTGTTTCGTTTTCCATTTCCCTCTTAGTCGTAATTATCCTAATAAGCTTTGCATTTGAATGAATGTTTCCTGTACACGTTCACTTAAGGTCAAACTTTTTTGCATCCTCATCTGTCAACTGACTCCTTTTTTAACGTAGTTTACCCACTTTTTCACGCGTTTCAAAATTCTAATAGCTCTATAAAGATTGATAATGGAATCACAATGTTTTGAGTGCATCCAGCAATGTAAGCCAAATCGTTGTGGGCTGTTGCTGATCTCTAGTGTGATACTGGATTATTTTTCGATCGCAGTTGTAGATTTTGACCGGCGATTTTCACGGTAACTACTTCATGTCATTGATTCTCATTCTGCTACAACTACCAGGTATTCTGGAAAGATCAATATTTTGTGATGGCAGTGTTGTATTTTTCTTGTTGATACTTTTAATAGGGAGAACTGTAAGTAATTTTGGTGACTTTCCAAGGATCATATCATCTGTTGTCGAAACCGTTTACTCTACATCTATCACCAATTGCTTTAGTTTCACAGATTTTGTTAAACAATCTTCACTATATGCTATCTTTTCAGAAATCGAGTTTTTCGTTTTCGCTGGCACCAAACGCGGTTAAATAAACTAACATCCGCAGTGTCGAACTGTTTACCGCGTTTGAATAAGTCAATCATTTGTGGTCGTCGTTTTTACATCCCTTCAGGTTAAATGGAATGTTTTCAAAATTTATCTACGGAACGTGGGTATCTTCTACTGCATACTTATTCTCACAACGTATCCGTTGACCAATTTGGCACTTTTTGGTACCAGCTTATGGCTAGCTGATTGGTCTGGAGATGCCAAAAATCAGGAGAATATAACAACTGTCTTAAGAGAACACCCGGAGGTCTTGTATAACTTGAGTGCATATCCCGAATTGGAAAGAGATTTGAATGACCTGCGCAATCAACGGAACTATAGACTTGGCGTGTACGCTGCTCTTGGCTTCATTCATTGTAAGTTCTTTCGGTGTCATTATCGTGCTTATTGTGTTTATTTCTATCAATCATTGGATTATTTGATTGTACACTATCAACGTGCTGTCTTTTCTCTTGGGCACCACATCGAGTTTCGGTGATTTCTTTCGACTATCTGTAAATTGGGATTGCTGCTAAATCCACCGATCTCAGGTATACGGTATTCAACTTTTTATATCCCCTTACGTGAATGGGTAGCTGCCCCTTCCCAGTTATCTGTGTTAGACCTTGAAGAGAAGTATAACTGTTATATATACTGTTCTCCTTTAACAAACTGTTATCTGGTTAAGTGTCTCTCTGTTACCCGTCTGTAAATGTTCATATTATAAGAATTGGGAACGTTGTACTTGACTTCCTTCGCTTCGTATGATTTTATACGTAATCTCTGTTTTGCCTTCGCTCATGAATTCTGTTTTTATAATGAAAGATATGAATTCTTAACCTTTTTCCGCAGGTGTTGCGGTAAGAACTTTTACTCCCTGCTCTTTACATTTCATTTCACCACTCAGGTCATCTGTCGGGTCATTTAAAACATGCATAACACTTATTGGTTGGCATAATTTTCAGTGCAATATAAAGATATACTCTGCGTAGATAAATCTTCACAACACAATAATGCATCCGCTTCCACACACTAATCTGAATTCATTACTTATTCAACACTTCAGGAGACTTTGCTTTCACTCACCAGCCGCCTTAGTCTACTGTTGGGAAGCCGCAGGAATTTAACTAACCCCGTGTTGTCCGGAACATTCTAGGTTCTCCATTCAAACAACATTCTGATTGCCGAATTCGAGAAGATCCCTTCCAAGGCAATCCTTGTATTGAGTTTCTTTAGAGTTTCCTTATGAAGACCACGTATTCACATTTTTTTCAGAAGAGATACTCTTTTCCATTGCGCCTGTACGCCGAGCTTGGCAATTTGTTTGCGAACGTTTCATCACCAGCTGAGGTGACATTATCAGTGCTTGTCCTTTTCAAAACGGTTTCGGTTACCACTTATGCTTCTTCCAAATGCAATCATCTTCGAGGATTCCACAAATCAAACTCTCTGTTAAATCTTTCAAAATATTTAAATATTTGATTGGACACGATTAGCTCTCTGGACAGTTTCATATACGGACTCAATAAGCTGACTTTTGGGTTCGAACTCTCGACCTCCCCCGAATCGAAATATTGCACCCTTACTTTTTCTTCATTGAATAATCCCCAGCGGCTTAATGTTTTATCTACTACGGTTAACCTCCATTCATGACAATCATGTTTTCTGCCTGAGCCATAGCTTGGTTACTCGGTGATCTTAACCCTTCCGAAAGATCGTATTGTTGCTTTTGCTTTCTTTAACTCGTGTCTAACTATACCATTTTAAGATAGCTTTGAGAAACTATAATTTTCATTTGCAAAACCGTCATTTGGAATTGAGAAACCATCACTTAGATTTGAGAAAGAAATGCTGTGGTTGGATCCGCTTCCGTTCAGCGCACCTCATTGGTCAATTGATCATACATTTT